GTGGTGTTACAGGGCAGCTCTGAAGACCATGGCCGTGCTGGCTAGCCTGGTGTTACAGGGCAGCTCTGAAGACCATGGCTGTGCTGGCTAGCGTGGTGTTACGGGGCAGCTCTGAAGACCATGGCCATGCTGGCTAGCATGGTGTTAAACGCACTGAGTCACCGCCCTTCTGGGCGCCTCCGCCTGCCTGGCTGTGCCCAGGGCCCTATGAGCAGGCTGCAGGGACAGTGGGGCAGAGGCAGGTGGGTGTGGCTTTTGCAGTGCCACTGGCTCGGCTGTCTGGTGACTGCTTAGCAATCTCCAGGTGTTTTGAATCTACCTCTGCTGGAAAGTTTATTTATTATATTGATTTAAAAGACAAAAAGGGCTAGCTTCCACAAAGGAGAAAATTTAGTAGAGAATATTTTGCCTGAAAATTAGTTAAAATGTGATCCAGTTTGATGCAAATCATATAAATTATGCCAAAAATACGGAACAAAGGATTACTCAATTCGAAGTAAAGTTCAAAATTACATTTATTTAAAATGTGGGCAAGATATCAATACAAAAGAAAACAGAGTATAAGAAATAAAAATAAAGTACAAAACATCTCAAATCTTTAACATCCATAATTTAGAGATAGTAAGGTCTTTATTTACACCATTTCACTTGTAGCTGAAGTCCCGTGATGGTTTTGTGAAAACATTTAAAAACCTGGCAAATGAATCATAAAACCTAACGTGGGCTCCGAAAATTGTATAATACAAAACATAATTTATGTTTCCTCAGGATAAAAATCACACATCTAAATAAGATGCAGTATATTTATTATATTTGTTTTCCTGCTTTAAAGTCTTGTGCCCTAAGAAAGCAGCCGGAAAACAAGAGCTTCTGGAGAAGGCCGCTGGCTCCCTCCCGCAGCACGGACTCCCACCGCCGACTCCAGCCACAGCGCAGTCCAGACGCGTCAGTCAGTTAAATTTATATGTGGGCTTATTGAGGAAAACAACTTTCAAAAGCAAGACAAAAAGCACTAAATGAAGACCCCAGTGTCAGCGACCAGTTTCATGCTCTACTTTAGAAACTGCAGCATTTTTCTGACTTATTCAAGCCAGGTGGTTTTGCTGCATGAACCACAGGGGACTCTGAGACCCAGCACTCCGCTCACGTGGCCCGAACACCCGGCCCACCGGCATCGCACAGCTGAAGCTGAGCCCAGTAATAGCTGGAGTTGTCTTTAAATTAACACACACAATACACAGTCCTGAAGGGTGGACGTCCACAAAGCCCCACCACAAGTAAGTGATTTTGACCCGTATCTCAGAGAACACCAGGTGACCTCTGAATTCTAAACCATGTGAGCCAAAGTAGTCAGGCTACAGATATGACCAACGGCCCTGAGACGACACGCACAAAACACCCACATAAGCACTAAAGCAGCTTCCTTCTGGAAGTAAGGCTTTCACAGACATAAATATGAATGGCAGGGAAAAAATCTAGAAAGCTGCAGGAATGCACACTATATAAACACCAAATGCTTACAGCACCTCTGCCAAAACTGAACAGGTCTTTTGTCATTTCAGCAATTCCCACAAACTTTCCCAATCAATGGAGATATGGGTACAGTCAGCGCTGATATTACTGATAAGAGGGTTTCTGCACCACGCACCATCCAGCTAGGTAAGTTATCTGTGGCTAAACAAGACATTGCTTCTGGAACTGTTCAAACTTTATTTCCTAAAAGTGCTTTACACCCAATGATATCAAGGTCTTTTTTTTTTTTTTCCTGGTAGGACGGACTTTTTATTTGGCCCAAACCAGAGCTCCTCTTTACTACTGGACCAGTAGCCATTATTTCCCCACTTCTGTTCTCTGACCTCCCCTGCCGGACTCTCTGCATCTATAGTAATTGTAAGATCATCCTTTGGAAACTTTTTAGCTGGGCCAGGACAGAAAATTCAATCAGTAGGACTTAAGGGCCAAATTCTTTGTGGCATTATCAGCAAGTTGATTTCTTTTAGGTTCTACAAAGTCTAGTTTTGAAAGGCCTGGAACTCCAGTAACGGGTAGAGCAGGAGGCAACTGTATGGCATCTAGGAATTCTTTCACCTCAGGCCCTTCCTTGTCTCTCTTGGAAGTGAGGAGACCTCTTTGCTTGCACAACACTCTAAAATCATGAGTGACGTCAAAGGCACACTGAAGGTTCCCATAAATCTTGTTATTTGACTCTTTTTTCTTATTTCTATGATCATTCTTTATTCTACTATTGGAGATGACTAACTGCATGCAGAAGCATTCCTAAGATTTCCCTGTTTTGGGAGTCTGGTCTCCTGACAGATAAAGGCTCTGTAAGGCTAAAGACACTGTTTGATAAATGTAATTAACCAGATGAAACAGGTGCATATGTAGGGGAGTAAATCTCATGAAGAATGGATGTCACTCTGACCCTGTGGCTCACTTAGATGTGTCCATCTGAACACAACATCACCTTGCCTGGTCAGGAAGGTCCGGCTAACCCTGACCTCCTGCAGGTACAGAGAAGGGAAGATTCTGGCCCCTCAGCTTAATCACCCCACCCAGGGAAAAGTTCCAAGAAACACCACCTGGGAGCAGGTCCTGTTCAGTGGGAAACTCAAGCTGAAATGTACGTGTTTTTCATAAAGATTTGTGAGGCGTGTTTTGCTTCACTGATGGGCTATTCACATATTAAAATACTAAGAGATTTTAAATAAGGACTATAAATAACAAATAATAAGCTTTATTTTTTCCTGAATGTCTGAAAACAGAAAAGCCTAACTGTGTCAAAAAGCATCACTGTAAAGACTCACCTCGCGATCTGACTCACGTGAGTGGTTTCCCCGGGAGGCTTCTACCTCGCTGTGCTTTTAGCCCCATCACAAAGGTCCTGAGTACAAAGGCTACACACCCAGTAAATCTCACTTTGAAAACTACAAACTCAAACATGAGCTGGTAAAAAGAAACACACAGAAGATACGAATGCTTGCAATTCTTTTCTATTTTACCTACTTGTCAAGCACTTGAATATCTACAGAACCCAGACTGTGAGGATTCTCTCTAATTAACATCGCCTACTGAAAGTCAACCCTCAGGAAGGTAATGTTTTTACTTAAAAACTCAAATGAATATCCTGAAGAGAAAGAAAGTTAACTACATAAATAGTAACAGCACAGCAAGAAAAAATGTCTTGCAAAACAGTAAAGACAGTGTTTTATCAATCTTGAAAACCCATTTTCATATTCAGCCCATCCAGTTTCCGATATCTTTCAAAAAGGATATGATTCATAGTCCAGTGTCTGTGTGAGCACTCCAGTCAGAACAAACTCTGCGTTGTGGACGTCTGGGTAGAACAGAAACACAGGACTTTTTCAACCAACACTGGCTGTGTGCGCGCACACACACACACACACACACACACGTGCGCGCACGCACACACACACACAGCAAGGGCAGTAAACCATACCTATTCCTCTAGTGAAATAGTCTCGACATAAATGAAGGTCATTTTCGCATGATATTAAGATGATTTCTGACAAACTCTAGGGAAAAGAAAGTGAGTCTGTCAGTGACCCAACACTGAGCCTCACTCACAGGGTGGGCTCAGCGGCCGCTCCCGCCACCCACCTTGTTCTGCTTGTGCTCCATGAGCTTGCGGAAGGACGGCTGCTTAGACAACACTTTTCCTCCTGCACATTCCACAATGGCTTTCATCGTGGACAGGCTTGGACAGATTCCCGGCGTGATGTAAAAATATTTTGTCTAAAAATAAAAGTATATGTACTATATTCCTAAAATGCTTTTAATTTTTAGAATATGTATTTTTCATATACTCTGCCTTGAGATTTCTGACAAAATGTATAATTTCATGAAATTACAAAGGTAGCATTCTCCCCCTGGCACTCAGCCTGCGGTGGGCTGAGAGGAGCCCAGTGCCGACTGGGAAGTATGAAGCATCAATCCTGATATGTTTCATACGTCCTGTGAGGATCAAAAGTTCCTAAAACAAAGTGCTGTGCAAATAAGCAAGAATCTTATAAACATTTTTTATGATTTCTTGACCCCTTTATCTCGCCAAGCGACAGCCTGATGGGCGTGGCTCCCGGCCTGTGCTCCCGTCTTTATTTTCTCTGAAATTATGTGGACTCGGAGTAGGAAATGATACTGACACTTAAGATTTAATTCTCTAATAAGCTTGCTCCTGAGTATATCATAAAATTCTATTTTGTTTTAACTGCTCATAGAATAAAAAAATCAAACATTCAAAAAAATATAGACTATTTTTGGTAATAAAAATCTTACTATTGCATATCATTTCTAATTCTAAAGTTGGCTTCTTATGAAGCTTGAAGAACAGATTATCTTTGCTGATTTACTTACCAGTTATTTAACACAAAAGTATTTCATAACTGTTCTAAGTATCTCATGTAACCAATATTTAAGTATCTTTAGTTGTAAATTATTTATGTGCACATTTAGTATTTTTCCAAATAGCTTCTCCAGCTGAACACACATCTATTGAGAATAGTATTAAGTCATGTCCTCCAAAGATTCATTAAAAGCAAAAAACTGAATTTACATGTCTCTTATCAAATTATCCAATAAACAATAATATTCTTTAGGCACGTTATTTGTAATAGATCTATTTATTTAATTTTTGTACCAATTTTCAAGAATTCCAGTGCAGAGAAGCTGTCTGGATCTGCACAGTTTCCTGGGGGGTTGATGTGGTAGTGTCCATAGAGGGGACCGGCCACGCAGAGGCGGCTGGGTGAGCCCAACTTCCCTGGGATGTACTTTCCAGCAAATCCCCTGCTAACGTCCTCTACCTGGACACGGCTGACTTTTCCTTTAAAATGTACCTTAAAGAGCGGAGAAATGTGTGCCCGCTTTAAGGACTCTTCCAAACTGAAGGAGAAAAGAACCTCAGCCTCGGCGTCGCGGAGGATGTAGCTCTGCTCGTCTGGAAGACATAAGTGTGCCCTCTGAGAGGTGTGGCGGGCGCAGCCCCCACCCAGAACTCTCACGCGTACTCAGGCCCATACTACTCATGGCTATGTTTACCTGTATGTCCTTTAGATATCAAAGCTCACCACTATATCTCACTTACTTCCCCCTGAAAACAACCAGACCAAAAAAATACAAGCAGGTATTCTTTCTCTTAGGTCAGTGGTGATTAACTTTTTGGGATCATTAAACTCTTTTTTTTTTTTTTTTTGTAGAGACAGAGGCTCACTTTGTTGCCCTTGGTAGAGTGCCATGGTGTCACCCAGCTCACAGCAACCTCCAACTCCTGGGCTTAGGCGATTCTCTTGCCTCAGCCTCTGGAGCAGCTGGGGCTACAGGTGCCTGCCACAACACCTATTTTTTTTGTTACAGTTTGGCCAGGGCTGGGTTTGAACCCGCCACCTTTGGTATATGGGGCCGGTGCCCTATCCACTGAGCCACAGGCGCTGCCCAGGGTCATAAACTTTAAAACAAAAATTCCTTGAAAGCTCTGGACCCCCTTCCTTAGGTGCACCCTGCCTTCCCCCTCGGCTGTACTCTCACTCTGCAACCTCACAGACCCCTAACCCAGGTACGGAAGGACAAGCTTCAGCGGCTGTCATATCTAGGACGTGTATGATGACCAGCTCCTCAACTCTCAAGGGTCATCAGAGTCAACTAGCTGGTCATCAATTATATGAATCTATCAAACTTGAACATGAAAGCACACAGCAATTTATAAAAGATAATTTTACCAATTTTTATGGTCTTCTGAAAAATTTTAATTGGTTTTCAGAATTTTCATAGTCCAATTTGTCAGAAGCCAAAGATGGCAAATCATTTCAGTCTTCAGGGGGGCACCTCTTCTCTGTTCCCACCCACCGTGTGGCCGACACAGCCCACTCAGACCCGACAATGCACACATCAGCAGGGGGGTACGGGGTCGGCAGACAGGAGTGAACCAAATGCACACATCAGCAGGGGGGTACGGGGTGGGCAGACAGGAGTGGACCAAATATACACATCAGCAGAGGGGGTACGGGGTGGGCAGACAGGAGTGGACCAAGTGGACCAAGTGTACACACCAGCAGGGGGGTACGGAGTGGGCAGACAGGAGTGGACCAAGTGTACACATCAGCAGGGGGGTGTGGGGTGGGCAGACAGGAGTGGACCAAATGCACACATCAGCAGGGGGGTACGGGGCGGGCAGACAGGAGTGGACCAAATGCACACATCAGCAGAGGGGTACGGGGCGGGCAGACAGGAGTGGACCAAATGCACACATCAGCAGGGGGGTACGGGGCGGGCAGACAGAAGTGGACCAAATGCACACATCAGCAGAGGGGTAT